TAATCCCTTTTTCATTCGACATACTTTATCTTAATTAGGATATTAATAATGAACAAGCAGATGATGTAGCTTTTGGAATAATCCACGAATTTTTTAAAATTAAACACGATCTAAAGATTTGCATCGAAGCGTTTTTTTTTGATAGTGATTTTAATCACTGTCATATATCATTATACTTGATCCATCTATGCCACGTCACCACTGTACCGCGATCCCCCTGTGCTGGGTTTTTTATTTCTTCCGGTATAAAAAACCTTAATGGAGCATCTATTTTTAGTTGAATATGATAAAAACTAAATTTTATTCTTATTTTTTTATCTGATCAACCGTTGCGTTTTAAAATTATTTTAAGACTTGGTTTAAAATACAAATTCATTATTAATTTGGTTTTTATAATACCGGAGACAACAATAATCTGCTTCAATGGACCATAATTTTTTTTTCACCAGTCATTCAACAATGTATGATAGTAAAATTGCGTTAAATATTAGAGTATGCGTCTATTAATAGACATGAAATATTAAAGATAATATTTCTGTACGATAGATATCATCGGGTTGTATTTGTGACAAATAATGACTAAGGCATTCTAAACAAGTATATTATCAATAGAAAATTATTAAACTTAATTATACAAACAAAAATAGCAAATAGTTTATAGGATAAAAAATATTATAAAAACAATATTTTTTTCAGTCATATAATCAAATTAAAAAATTGTGGTTTCTATCAAAGATAACTAAAGTTTAGCTATTTTGTCCTTGAAGAGATAAAAAATATTATTTAACTATATATTATTGCTATATATAAATTTTAGGATCGAATAATATTTTCCTTTGCAATAGTTAAATATTTTTAATAGTTTCCGAAAAAAATGTTTGTCTTAAAAAAAGACTGGATAATCAATATTTCGTTTGGTTATTATATAGACCGGTTTTTCACGATATTATATCTAATTTTAACGTTTTAAATAAAAAAAATAAATATTAAAATTATGATGAAATTTATTTTATGAGTTTAGTTAAGTATTTTGTATTGTCATAGATACGTATTAAAAATAATAAACTACAATATTTTTATTTTTACAAAAATTTGTCAGTTTCATTTTGAAAGCCACTTTGTTAGTGTTTAAATTATTTGTAAAAATCTTTATAGATAATTGAAAACTTAAAATTCATATTTTTGTATAAAACGTACAGTAATTTCAGACTCCAAATCAAAAAAATCACCTGCATTTGAATTATTTGAAAAAATTGGTAAGAAAGCATACATTNGAAATGATATTTCTTTGATTCGAAACTTAACATTCCAATCAATCAATCAGATCTCATTACTCTGGAAAATGTGTGGACCTTCACGTATTTTGAACGATACATTGCCAATTATGTCAGACTCCAAATCAAAAATATCACCTACATTTGAACTATTTGAAAAAATTGGTAAGAAAGCATACATCATATAAACTAAGATTATGTTTTATTTAGTGAACAGTTTACGTGAGCATTGCGAGTAATACATAAATTTGATTATTCTTTTTAATATTAACAATTACAAATATAGTTATATATTAAACTGTATTATTACACATCATTTTATTAAAAAAAAGAATTTAAATTTTTATCTGTTATTTTTTATTAAAAGTTTAAGAATATAAGTATAAATAAAGTTTTTTTTTTTCANATTGCGAGTAATACATAAATTTGATTATTCTTTTTAATATTAACAATTACAAATATAGTTATATATTAAATTGTATTATTACACACCATTTTATTAAAAAACAGAATCTAAATTTTTATCTGTTATTTTTTATTAAAAGATTAAGAATATAAGTATAAATAAAGTTGTTTTTTTTTCTAAAAAACTAATTTTTATATAAAAATTTATAGTAACTAAATTGTTAACAAAAAACACACATTTCTATGGGTAATAAGTAAATAAAAGTATATATATGTGATTAAATCATTTAATTAGAATAACAAACATGAGATAATGAATTTTAAAATAAATAAATTATGTGTAAAATAATAAAATTATATNACAATCATGAGATAATGAATTGTAAAATAAATAAATTATGTGTAAAATAATAAAATTATATATTTAAACTAAAAATAAATTTCAATTGCACTTAAATTAGAGATTTTTTGAAGTCAAATAAAATCTAACAAATCTAAAACATTTAATCTATACCAGCTATTTTTAAAATTTATAATCCTAGCATATGTGTCTGCAGAGGATGAGTGACAAAGGGATAGTTATCATACGCTTGATTTTTTACATAATCAATTTTTATAATCGCTGTATATTATAAAATTTTGTAAAATTATATAATATAATAAAAAAAAATTAATAGTGACACTCAATTTTATAAATAATACTACCAAAATATCTTTTATTTATAACATTTTTTCTACAAGGCTCCCATTAAAATAATATTTATATTCTTCCTAAATTAAAAAAACTAAATGTATATTAACACATAATTTTTTTATTTATTGGAAAGTTAATTTATTTACTAGAGCACAGTTTATTACGCAATGATCACTATAACCATCCCCCTAGACTGCACTGTGACTGCCCACTAACTATATTCAGCAGACAGTAAACTAAATATTTTAAAAAATGTAAAAGTCCTTGCATCCCAACGCAACAAATAACAAATATATCTGTTTCAATATAGATCAAAACTCTACAATGTTTGCCGATCATAAAGTAAAAAGTAAGGTATTCATTTGGGAAAGCAACATAATATGTTCGACAAAAGACTTGATGCTAAACGTCAAAACAAAAGAAAATAAAAGCATATCATTAAACAATTTGGAGACAGAAGCACCAACTAAAGAGAATGTTGATAAAGATGACCAAGTGTCTAATGCTCCCACTAAGAAGAATGTAAATATCTTTATAGATCCCAACTCTTACCCCGATTCTAAGCAAATGCAAGATGAAGGCTACACATTTTTTTGGGATGAATCATTACATGTTCCCAAAGATGACCAAGTGTCTGATACTCCCATTAAGGAGGATGTAAATATTAATTTAGATCCCAACTCTTACCCCGATTCAAAACAAGTGGAAGATGAAGGCTATACATTTTTTTGGGATGAATCATTACATGTTCCCAAAGATGGAAAGGTGTCTGATGCTCTCACTAAGAAGAATGTAAATATCTTTATAGATCCCAACTCTTACCCCGATTCTAAGCAAATGCAAGATGAAGGCTACACATTTTTTTGGGATGAATCATTACATGTTCCCAAAGAAGACCAAGTGTCAGATACTCCCATTAA